ACTAAAGCGGTCCCAAGTCGGAATCCTGTCAGGAACTATGCTACAGCTGCAATTTCTGAGTCTTCACATATTGCTTCACCTTCAAAAGAATCTGCTGAATGAGGATTTACCTTGGGCAGCGCCTCAGTTGAGCCTTCGTCTAAGGTTTCTTCTGTATAGGAAGGCCAGTGGTTTCAAACTATCGCCTTCAGAAAGAAAACAGCCACTGCTGCCCCTGTGACATATACTGTTACACAACGTCAGTAGCTTCTTATGGTGTGCGGAACTCTGCTCTTCTGCCAATTATTTCAAAGAAGGAAACATTAAAGGCTCTTTTCCTTTCAAGTTTTAGTCATAAAGTCACTGCTGACGTTATTAAGTGATTTCCGAACAGAAATTAAGCTCAAAGAAATGTCTCTGCATCACCTCCTTTCATGTCTCGGAAACTGAAGATAAGTCTTCATTCGTCAATATCACTAGTGTTTGGCTTACGGTGTGTCTCATTGCTCCTTTTTACGGTAAACTGGCCCCTGATCAAGTGTAATCCTCATGTAAACACGTCACTGGGGCACGGCTCTCCCCAGTAGTTCTAATCGGGGGGATGGTGTCAGTGATCCATCTGAATAATGGTTTCGAACTCCAGTGATTTCGGTATTTCTTATCAAAATATCAGGGGAATTAGAGACTAATGTAGTGGGTTGAAGGACAATGTTTGCGCTTCTAACCACAACATTTACTGCCTTACTGAAACCTGGATAAACGAAAAGACCTGGCATCTTATTCTGTATTTCGCACTAGCTGAGACTATTTAAATTCGCACACAAGTCGTGGAGGTGGAGTTTCAAGTTTATTTCAAGGTGTCATGCGGAGGCATGGCCTTGAAAATGGTGAAGAATATGTATGGTTTTAAATTGCTCTCAGTGACAATTTCAGTCTACTAATAAGAAATCATTATTTTCCTCCTGATTGTAGTGTCACAATTAGTGACAATTACTTAAACTTTTTGAATTTAAATGCATATCAGTATCGAGTAATTAATACGCGATATTAATGTACTTAACTATGACTGGATTAATGGCGCGCCACTTCGCAGTTATTACTGCAATAAACTCAAGGAAATTCAATTCACATGGCCACCTACTTAATTTGTTTCATTATTTATATTTTTGCTTCTCCAGATAGTCTAAATTTTTTTATATTATCTTAATTCTTCCAAAGCTGGAGCACGTGTCTGTTGTCAGGAATAAACTTACTTTAGCAGATTCTAATAAGGTGGAAAACATAAAAAAAATTTGCAAATTTATGCTATAATCAATTTGTTTAACCCAATTCCTTTTGTAATTATGAATCAATGTCAAATAATTTACATTTTAAAACGCTTTTTATTCCAGGCAAAAAAAAACCTTGCTCTTTATTTCTTATTTAAGTTTTCTAGAACAAACTTTACTCTTGTTCTGTTATGGCTATTGTTGGTCTCCGCTCACGCACTAAGTAAATTAGAGCCTCTTTCACCTTGAAAGTCAGTAATATTTCAATACTTAGTCCTTCAACAAGGTGCGTCACAGCTGCATACAACATCTGCAGATCTCTGGACGTTTCAAATTAACATAACGTCTCCGTTGAGGTTACATTTTCCTTGCTTAATCCAACTGAATTAAGTCATTATCGTGTTACATATATTGTTTTATCGCCTAGTGTTAAGTTTTGGTCTAGTTCTAGTTCTAGCTTTAGTCTAGCTTCTGTTATGCNATACGTGTACTTTCAGTGTTTACGTGTTACAGACCAATCGCTGTCAGCAAATAAATAACTTGAATAAAGGAACGAATTATTATTATTATTATTATCCTCTGAAAATCTATGCTATTCATTTCTTAATTAAATATTTATGTTTCATTCCTCAATTCGTAATAACACTTAGTTTAATGATAATGAAATTATTATTACTGTTATAATTATCACTTATTTATTTGTTTACTCTTACTTTTATTCATTATTATTTCTTCCAAGTACTTACCTGTAATTTGTATTTGACTTTTAATAAGTTTGTCTATAATGTAATTCATTCATCTGCTCTGTGCTGTGTCTGTAATTGGCCTTGCGGCTGTTGACTCGGCACATTAATAATAAAGAATTGAATTATTGTTATTATACTCATCCCTAGAATGTTATTGTCACGTGTCCTGGTAACGGGACAAGAAGTTGATGAGCTCTGGATTAGATGATGCGATTTATTGGACAAGTTGTTCACAATTACAATTGCTCAAAATCAGCGACTTCCGCACGATGCAACCTGACGAGTCTGTCGTCTCTCGAATTTTGTCTTCACACGTTCTTCTGTATTGAACTGCTATTCTTGTTGGCATATCTTTGTTGCTTCTTCCTTGGTTCTTAGCTCTGTTGGTTCCTTCTGCTCTCAGCTCTGCTCCCTTCGCCTTTCTTCTGTTATATTCAACACCTTGTTCATGGGTTCCGTTTCGCCTTTTCGATGCAGCGGTAGTTAATGTATTCGTTACCGCGGAAACTGCACTAGTTCTGGTTTTCAGTTCCGTGCTAACGGGCTCTTATATGTGAGTTTTCGCGTGAACGTGTTTGTCACTCGGACAACGATGAAGGAAGTGACTACCGAGTCGTTGTCTAGCAATGGACGCCAGCTCTGACTCAGTTATATCGGCTTTTAGGTGGCACGCCAAAATATTATGAATTATATTTTATCCTAGTTAGAGTTAAAGCTCGGGGCACGCGGTAACGTAGTTGGTTGAGACATTATGCTACGAGCCGGAAGGTTGCGGGTTCAAGTCCCGATGGGATCACTGGATTTTTTCAATTGACCTAATCCGTCCAGCCTCACTATGGCCCTGGGGTCGACTCAACCTCTAACAGAAATGAGCACCAGGAGTATTCTTGGAATATTCTTGGCGGTAAAGGGCGGCCGACGCTTAGGGCTTACAAACTTGCTGCCATTTATGAGCCAATTGTCTTGGAAATTTGGGAACCTCAACATCTCACAACCCTATGGGCCTCCACGGCCTGCTACAAGGATAGCTTTACTTTACTTTTACTTAAAGTTTACTTTTTAGATTTGAAACTTAAATAGGCCTCTGTTGCTCGGAATTCCTTTATATTGACTGGTGCTAACGAACTGGAAGGAATCCAGAATTAGTTTGCAGCTCGTGTCTTTGTCCAGGGTTCATTATATTTATGCTTTTTTTTTTCNGTCGTCTTGACAGATTACTGATGATGATGATGACCACAGCCCCACTGGGCCTAGGCCTACCTCCATGAACTTCTCCGTTCACTTCGGTTTTTTTAGATCTTAGACATTCGGTAGGACTCCTTGGGCGGGTGATCAGGTCGTCGCAAGGCCTCTATCTGTACACAAACACAGAAAAACGCACACAAACATCCATGCCCTGAGTGGGATTCGAACCCACGATCCCGGCTTCCGAGCGAGTGAGGACAGTGCACGCCTTAGACCGCTTGGCTACCGTGACCAACATATTTATGCTTTAGAATAGTTAAAACTGCTGTTCCTTGTTCAAGTCTTCCGGAAACTACTGATTCTCGAGGTCCTGCATGTACATTAGAGACGTTCCTATAAATACAAATATGTTCAGTGCCAAATTTCAGGAATTTCCCTCCTGCAAGGAGCTCTTCAGTGGCTATAATGTTGTTTCTGGCAACGTCTGCATACTTGCAAAACAAAGCTGTTTCTCTTAATCACTTTTATAATGGCACGTTCTTATTTATTAAATATTAATTGCATTGAAGACGGCTATACACGTATTTCTTTACTCATCGCATGTGGGATAGTGTGACTGATGGTCACTCTCTACATGAGTAAAGTTGCTTTGTTCTTTCTTTTATTTTTGTGTGTATGTTTTGTTTTACTTCTCCTTGCTCATGCATACTGTACAACTCTGCTTTCGGTTTCTAAATAAGAGCATAAATTGACAATTAATCGAAGTGAATTGAAACATTAACAGAAGCAGCAGTAGTAGTAGTAGCAGGAATGGTATCAGTAATGAAGTAGAAGTAGTAGATAAGCAAATATTCAGTCTACTTAAATTAAAATGTAAGCACAGTAGATCATTGAAGGTCACAGTGCGGGGGCCGGTTATTATGGCCCACCCCTTACATACATTACATTAAAATGTAGTGGTATAGAAGTGGCGGTTTTTCGCACTGAGACGGAGTTACTCACTTGCGAAGTTGCTAATTGGTGCTATCTGCTTGCCTGCCCACCTACCCATCTGTCTGTCTATCTATCTATCTATCTATCTATCTATCTATCCATTAATGGCTCAACAGCCCTCTGTTGAACGTTGGCCGCTTTTTTTTAGTTCCTTTATCCTTTACACAGTCAGTAGGACTCCGTGGACGGGGGATCAGCCAGTCGCAAGACCGCTACCTGCATGCAAGACAGAACAAACATAGAATATACGCACACATCCATACCTTCAAGTGAATTCTAACCCACGACCCCAGTGTTCGAGCGAACGAAGACAGTTCATGCCTTAGACAGCGCGGCCACTGTGTTCGGCGGTGCGACATATCAGCTAGCGAAATTATTAACGTTATTATGCACACTGCCATGAGTGAAGACCAGTAAGGGCTAAGGATAATTTTGTATATAACTGGTGAGTCATGAATTTGAGGGAAGACCCAAATCGTGCATTACTGGAAGTTACTGTTCAGTATTCTCTTAGACGTACCCTAGATAACCTCTAGACTAAATAGTTTGTCACTGCACGTCTCATGAATGAGAAGTCTCCTTGTTTAAATACTTATTCAATTTAAAGATTACTTATTATAACAATTTAAGCGAGCTCAGTATTTGGTGGAAAGAGGCGTGCGCTCGTACAGGTCTGTAAAATTATTAGCTTCAGTCTTACGTGTTGAGCACTGCCACGATAATTTTGAGAGGTATTATTTAGTGTTTTATGTTACGATTCGCTGTGATAATTGATCACGTAATATTATATAGGGTCTGTTTGCTCATAACGTAAATGTAATTGTTGCAGGTGTATCTTATTGTGGCTGTGATCCTGGTCTGCACGACTGCAAGTCCCATAAGGGTATACTCCGGCACTAGGATGTTACCCATCAGGCCTCCCACACCTACACCTAGATATGAGGTCCCATTTCCGCCGATACCTCCTGCTCCAGTGTACGAGGACTCGGAACCAGAAAACTCAGTCTACACATTTCCGTTTAAGTTTGGGTACCGATTGAAACCCCTTAAATCCCACGTAAGTACACAGGAGGCTCAGTATCGACGAGAACTTCTCGCTTAACTGCACGTAAGTACACAAGAAGGGCAGTATCGACGAGAACTTCTCGTTTAACTGCACGTAAGTACACAAGAGCCGCAGTATCGACGAGAACTTCTCGTTTAACTGCACGTAAGTACACAAGAGACTCAGTATCGACGAGAACTTCTTAAATCCCACATAAGTACACAAGAGGCTCAGTATCGACGAGAACTTCTCGTTTAACCGCACGTAAGTGCACAAGAAGCGCAGTATCGGCGAGAACTTCTTAAATCCCACGTAAGTATACAAGAGGCACAGTATCGACGAGAACTTCTCGTTTAACCGCACGTAAGCAGACAAGAGGCTCAGTATCGACGAGAACTTCTTAAATCCCACGTAAGTACACAAGAGGCTCAGTATCGACGAGAACTTCTCATTAGGCTCAGTATCGACGAGAACATCTTATTATATCGCATATAAGTAAATTCTGATGCTTTTATCTGAAACTCCTTTCGATATACTCGTACAAGATATTTAGCAAGTATCAGGAAAATATGTAATTTCAGACTCTATAAAGTGAACTGTCTTTACAACAGCTTATTACAGCCTAAACTGATTTCCGTAATTAATTTCATTCGTATTCTCTCCCGATTTCAATTGTACTACTTTTCAGTCGCTCAAGTGACTGGTTACAGCCTGGATGTTTTCGATTCAATTTCCGACAGAAACAGAAATATATAGATGAGTTCTAACATCTCACCCAGCTC